CTGCCCAGGCCCAGTCCCCTCCTCAGGCCCTGCTTGCTGGGAGCTGACTGTGCAGCTCAGCAGGAACACTATTTCTATTCAGATCTGACCCTGCTGCCCTTTAGCGATCCAGCCAGTAACTCAACTCCTGGACTGTGGAGGAGGCTCCCATTGCCATGCCTTACCAGGGGAATGCTGCTGACAACCTTTGCTTGGTTGCCTGCAGGCCTGCTAGCTGCGTGGGGGGTGTACCTGCAGCGCCCCACTCTGGCCAACCAAGGCTTGTGAAGAGATCAGGAAAATAGTGAGAGGCTGGGTGGGGTTGCAGACAACAATGGCCGGAAAAGCTAGTACTTGGCTGCAGAACTTGCTTAGGAAACCCCTCCTGGACATTCTGAGAGGCTGGGCTGGAGACAGGGTGGGAGCAGGCGCCACTGCTGGGTTGGTTTTGATGTAGTCTGAGATTTGAGCGTTTAAGGAGGTTAAGGCACTGAAGATAGGCACCAGTTGTCCCATGTCATCCCTTTGGTGACTTTCAGATTGAGATTATTTCATTTTGTGGGACAAGGTCTCTTGTGTCCTAAACTAGCCGTTGCTAACAATAGCTACAAGGATGATTTTGGGCTTTTGATTCAGCCTCCATCTCCCAAGTAGTGGAATTACAGACTTGGTTTTATGCCATGCCAAGGACTGAACCCAGGGCTTGGGGAATGTTAGGCAAGCACTCCAGCAACTGAACCATGTTCTCTGCTACAGAAGGGGTGATTTTTGTCACCTTATAGAGGCACATGTAGTGGTCAGGACATCACTAGCCAAAACATGGCTATGATCCCAGAACTGGTTAGACTATCTTTAAAGCTGAAACTGCTTGATCTCCTAGAAACTTGACAAGGCAGAGAAGGGAGATGGGGACAGCAGGGTTTGGGATGGTCCCCATAGCCGCTCAGGGGGTTAACCTGGGGTTAGGAGGGTCCTGGGAGTCCCTGAGGAGTGAGACCAGAGGACATGGCTCCTATACATGTTGCCCCAGGGACATCTGGCTGGAAGAGACCTGTAAAACCCTGGGGGAGAGAGTAGTGGCCACAGGGTCATTGGCATTAAGGAACAAATGGCCCCAGAGGAGGAGGAAGAAGAAGTGTGGGGGAGGGGGCCAGAGAGCCACAGTCACAGGCGGGCAGGGTAGCCCTGGAAAAGGTCTTTGTGGGGCTCAGGAAATGACTCAGTTGATGCAATGCTTAGTGTGCAAGCAGGAGGACCACAGTTCAGATCCCAGCACCCATCTTAAAAACAGAAAGAAAGCTGGCCTCTTGTCTGTAACCCCAGGACCAGGGAGGCAGAGACACGCAGATGCCTGGAGCTCATTGGCCAGCCTCATTGAACTGGTGAGCTCCAGGTCCAGTAAGAGAGTCTGTGAAAAAAAAGTGGAGAAGTTTGAGGAAAACATGTGACCTCAACCTCTGACCTCCACGCCCACAGAACATGCATGCGCATGATTGTGTGTGCGCACACACCGTCTTTGTTTGGTAACAGAGACAGAGGGAAGGTACTGGGGAGGCAGCACTGACTCAGCTGCTGTCATCAATGATTATCAGCTGGGTGACTACCATATGCTGGTTCTTCCGGAGCCCAGCAGAGGCCAGCACAGGCCTGAGCAATCCCATTGCTCAGGTAGGGACCTGTGGTTCGCCCGCACTTGCCCAGCTGGAGTGGAGCCCTCCCTGGTCAATTTTGGTTGTGTCTGGCATGAACTGTGGTGACAGGGTACAGGTGACCACGGAACTGAGAGTAACCTTGAGGCGGCTATAACAAACAGCATGACAGAGGCGCAAGGAGGGGTAAGGGTACCGCAAAGAAACTGGAGCTCCAGCACGGCCCGGGAATGTGCGCACTCGTGTTTATGCAACACCTGACTAGGCTTTCTTTGAACTTCTTACCAGTTTTCTGCTGTGACAGGTGTGACATACTTGGAGTGTTCTAGACAAAAGGAAGCCAAGCAGCTGGACCAAGGGGGTATAAGTAAGGCTTCTAAGAAGCTGTTACCTCTGACGGGTTTTGGATGGATTTGGAGATTTGGATAGGAATGTGTCCCCTTCCCACTTCTCGGCTCTCTTCTCCTTTCTGCTTTTCTTTTTCCTTTTGCGACAGGTCCTCATGTGCTCCAGGTAGGTCTCTAACTTTCTGTGTAGCTGACGATGACCTTGATCCTCCTGCCTCTGCTTCCACAGTGCTAGGATTACAGGAGTGAGCCACTGTACCCAGCATTATGCAGGGCTGAGGATACAGTCCATGACTTTCTTGAATGCATGGCAAGTGTTCTGCCAACTGAACCATGTCCTTGGCTCCTGGAAGGTTTTTCTGATGGTGAAAACGCATCCTGTGTCCAGCTGTCCAAGGCAGCGTGTTCATTTCCTGGTATTCACATGACAAGGAATAGGGCTGTCTTTGTGTCAAACCCTGTTAATGTGCACAGGAGACCTCTGATGCTGATGCTGCTAGGGAGATAGGCCTAATCGTTCCAGGGGTGGAAGCTGTGAAGGAAGCTTCCATCGGAACTTCAGAGACTGTGCTTGCTGAACAGAGAGCCTCTCTTTACCCTGAACCTGGCTAGCGCTTGAAACAGCACAGACACTCAGTGAAGACCCCGTGATGGAGGCAAGAAGTAGCTTGCGTGTTCTCCTGCAGGCATTGCCTTTTATTGTCAGTTGATGCTGGACTTGTTTTACAGATGAGGTACTAAAGTTCATAGGACTTTAATGCATGAACTAGGGATGTAGTTGGTGGAGTGCTTTCCTAGCATACATGAAGCTCTGCACTGATTCCCAGCACTCAGAAGGCAGAGACAGGAAGGTCAGGTTCAAGATCAGGCTTAAACATTTGCCACCAAGCTTGATGACCCGAGTTCAATCCCTGGGTCCCATAAGGTGGAAGGAGAGAAGCAACTCCTGCCAGTTGTCCTGTGACTCCCATACACGGTGACAAGATACAAAATGTGTGCACAAGTGCTCACACACAGGCACTCTCTCTCTCTTTCTGTCTCTGTCTCTCTGTCTCTCTCACACACACACACCTGGGCTGGCCTGGAACTCATTGTGTAGACCAGTTTGACCTCAAACTCAGAGATCTACCTGCCTCTGCTTCTCCTAAGCGCTGGGATTAAAGGGGTATGGCGCCATGTCAGCTTCAAGAAGATCTTTAAAAGAAGCCCCATCGTCCTTCTTCCCAGGCCCTCTCACTCGAATGCAGGGGTTGGAGGGGAGGAAAGAACCGTCTAGATGGCCAGACCTGTGTGATCCCTGGGAGACAAGGGGACAGGAAGAGGCATGAGTCTAGCCTCAGGTGATCCCTACCCCCAAGCTTTGTGTCTTTGGAGCAGAAAGAATTCCTTATCTCATCCCAGACTACCTTTTTATTGTCAACCTTAGGGATGTCTTGTGATAATTTAGCTGCGTCATCTGTCCAGACTATGAGTGTTTGCAGTTGTGGGGGTGAAGGCTGAATAAGGGGAGCAGGATGGTACACTTATTCAGCTCTGGGTTTGGCTCTCAAAACCGTGCAGTGTTGTGCTCTGGGAGTGGGGCCTGCTGTCTCTGTCTCCTCAGAGGAAGCTGGGTAAGCTGCTGTCTGCCCTTGGACTGACTGTGAAGGAAGGCATGGAATGTCCATCCATCTCTGACCTTGCTTTGTGGCAGGGATGCAGGAGGACATGGTCCTTCCCTGGACAGGTCAGGGAACTCTGAAAAGCATCCGGGGCTACAGGACAATGGCAGCTCTCCTTATGCAATTGCGATCTGCTTGGCCCTGCACTATGTGAGGATGTGCTACACCCTTAAGCTTGGTCCACACCTTCCACTTTGGGCACATTAGCCTAGCTGGCCTGCAAACTTCTGGGGTTCTCCTATTCCTGTCTCCCACATCCTCCTAGGAACTCGGGGGCTACAGACACTCCAGACACTGTTCTTGTCTTTTACATGGGTTCTGGGTACTCAAACTCAGGTCCTCACATTTGCACGGCATCTGAGCCTTCTCTCCAGATCACCTTTATTTGTGTGTGTGTGTGTGTGAGAGAGAGAGAGAATGTCTTACTTTTCCCTGGCTCTCACCCAGGTAGACTAGGTTGGCAGGTCGGTGAGCCCCAGAGATATGCTTGTCTCTGCTTCCCTGGCACTGGGACTATAAGCGGGTACCAGTATGCTTTGTGGGGGAAGGGGTGGCTCTGGGTCTGGAACTCAGTTCTTCATGCTTGTGTGGCAAACACCTCACTGACTGAGCACAGAGAGGCCTCCACTTTCTTCCAGGTTCAGCAGGTATTGGCTGGAGCTGTCAGACTGGACTGTGTGGAGTAAGCATAGAGTCCTTGCCTTCCTGGCCCTGCCTCCATCTCTGTTTCCGTGACTTTCTGACCGTGGCCCAGTCTCTCCTTCCTCTCCTCCCTTGCCTTCCTGGCCCTGCCCTCATCTCTCCTTCCTTGCAAAAGTCTTTGCTCTTTTGTGTGTTAGCTTTTTGTCCCTGTGACAAAAACTCTACTCATGAGTGGACGGATTTACTTTTCTGTTACCGTGATGGAATGCTTTGACTAAAAGCAACTTGAGGAAGAAAGGGTTTATTTGGCTTACACACTGGATCCCCATCTATCTTGAGGGAAGTCAGGGCAGGAACTCAAGCAGGAGCCAAGGCAAAAACCACGGAGGTAAGTGGCTCACTGGCTTGTCCCCCACAGTTGTTGGCTCAGCTGCTTTCTTAAAAGCCAGGACCACCCACCGTGAACTGGGCCTGCCTGAGGAACAATAGCTTGGATTGCCCTCTGGCTTCCACCCCTGCATCCCTCCGCCCCCCCCCCATACATGTGTCCTCCCCACACACAAAATTTCATGTTTTAAGGACGTTTACAACTTTGTGCCACGCTTGTCACCATTAAAGGCTGGATCCACCGGAACCGTTTAATCAGGGACATGTCTGTCCCTGGGCCAGCCCTGTAAGTCTACTGGCCAGTGCTGACCTTCTCCTCCTTCTGTCCCCTCTAGCAACATGTCCGAATGCTTGGCCGACGCCATGTGCCAGCGCTGCCAGGCCCGGTTCAGCCCCACAGAGCGCATCGTCAACAGCAATGGGGAACTCTACCACGAGCACTGCTTTGTGTGCGCACAGTGCTTCCGGCCATTCCCCGAGGGGCTCTTCTATGAGGTGAGGAGGCTCCTGTGACCTGGTCAGGCTCGGAGGCAGCAAAGTGGAGCTTCACACCCTGTGCTGGCCCATCCCTCACCTGGGAACTTCTGGAGTCACTCACTCTTCTTCAGCTGCCCCTCGACAGGTTCTGGGCAGATCCTGGGGCAAAAAGAACTCTGCCACCATGCTTGCTCTCCATTGGGTCGGACGGCAAATGCAATGGCTGCGTGGTTCCATTATCTGTGGGGGGAGCTAACAGATACGAGTTGGGTGAGCAGGTGATGTTTGAGGGCACGACATATGTGAAGGTTCTGAAACGAAGGCACACGGGACATTTGGGGAGAGGCTGGTGTAGTAGAGGTAGAAGCAGGAAGGGAGTGGCAGAAGGGAGACAAGGGACTCTGGATCTTTCTACCCTAGTGGCTCTCCTCTGGGGTCCTGAGCTTTTCTGTGGGAGATTGGAGCCACTTGGGTTTGGAACAGAGGAGTTACACCATTGTCCCACATGTGAAGAAGACGCTTCTGATGCAAGGCATGCGGCTTGTGCCTGCAACACACGGGGCTGTCTCCATAACGACACTGTCTCAGAAACAAAGTGGGAGAGAGAGGGGGGCGCAGGCCCTGTGCTGTACCGAGACTGAGAGAGAAGCTGGGAAACCAGGGGACACAGGAGGGGTGTCATTGAGTCTTGAGGCAGTTCAGATAAAACTAAAGGGTCCTGAGTTGCCCACAGCAGCTCACAAGGGCAAGAAGTTAAGTCCTTTCTAAACACAGCTGTTGCTCCCAAGTAACTCATGCATGGGAGAGGGAATGCCTCAGTCATCAGAGTGCTCGCCTTGCAAGCAAGCTCTTGAGTTTAATCCCCAGAACCGATGTTTAAAAAAAAAAAAAAAAAAAAAAATCATGGCGTACTGGCTTGTGCAGTATGCTGTAGTCCCAGCACTGGGAAACTAGAGACAGGTGGATCCCCGAGGCTTCCAGGCCTGTCAGTCAGTCCAACCTGTTTGGTGAACCATAGGCTGGTGAGAGACCCTGTCCCCAAGGGAGAGAGGCACCTACAGACACATAAAGACACACACACAGTGAACCATATCAATGTCCAGGAGTATAGTACTTTATTTAAAATGAAGATAACAAAGATACTTATGATACAAAAGATATTAAAATGTCCTACTTCCCATTATTTCATTAGACTTTTACATCATTGATGTGTCTGAGATTATTTCCGTCTGTGTGGTGCCACTGTGACATCAGCATGGTACCAGCCTGGCAGTGAGATCTACACCACAGCATCAGGCGGACCCAAAGTCAGAGCCTCTGCGGCCTCCCCCTCAGAGTTGGTTAAACACTGGCTGCACTCCACACCCTGGGCTGCAGTGGAGGGATGCTAGAGCTCAGAGGGGACTGTCCTCTCTTGGGGAGGGCGGTGATGGTATCGGTGCTTGACCGATGTGGGTACATGTCTCACATGTCAGATGAGGGTCTCCTGTCGCTCTCCAGGCTCCTGAGAGGTGCTGGCTGGCTGCAGAGGCAGCAGAGCATTGGGGAGAGCTCTGTGAGGAGTTGTAGACCACAGCCAAGCAAAGCACGGAGTGGGTGTTTGGGAGACACTGCTGCTCAGCAAGGTCCAGCCGCTGTAGCCTCTCTGACTCACTGGGGAGAGCTGCCTGTAGCTTTAGGAGGAGGGAGTTATGGACGGTGACTTTGAACTTCTGCTCTCTCCTGCCTCCATCTCCCAAGTGCACTACCAAACCCTGTTTATGCAAGTTTGTGAACCGAAACAAGGGCTTCCTACATGTTATACAAGTACTGAACAAACTGAGCTACATCCCCAGCCCCAGATTTTTTCCTTTTAAAGAAAGCAAAGCTTTAAGGGAGAGGAACGTAGAGGCAAGCTTTGGTCATGCTTTGGTCATACATGGCAGTGGCTGACAGCAGCCCTTGGGTGCTTTTCTTTGTCAGCCCAATTCCCCAGGCCCTGCCCGTGTTCTTTCTTTCCTCTTCCCTCTGTGGCTCTTCTGTAGTTTCTGGGGACACCGATCTGGTCAGACATGGAGAACAAAGCGGGACAGTGATGCAGATTTGACCCGTTCTTTCCCACCCACCTCCCACCTCAGTTTGGTCTACTGTCAGGGTCCTCAACAGAGAGCAGAATCCCCAAGAGCTGGCCTCAGCGTCTCTGTGAACCCCCCACTTGGCACTCTGATAAACTGCTGGGGCTAGTCCCCTGCTCCAGTTAGCTTTAGAAGGCTCTCTTCTCCAGACCCCAGACCCCCGTTATTTATTAGGGGCAAGGACTGTATGAATGACTTGCTTGTTGTCTCTTGTCTGTGGCCCCCATTTGCAGTTTGAGGGCCGGAAGTACTGTGAACATGACTTCCAAATGCTGTTTGCTCCATGCTGCGGATTCTGCGGTAAGTGCTGGTGACCGCACCTAGGAGGTGTGGAGGGACAAGTAGGGAACAGACAATCCTGGCACACTACTTAGCCTGGGGTTTTACTCATCATCTCATTGTGTATTTCTGACCATTGCTCTTCAGGTCCCTAAAAGAGGGGTTCTTGGACAAGGCTGAACTGGGAGGAGCACCAAGCTACACGGGACTTGGGAGGTGCTGAAGGGTGGGGCATGTTGTGACTGACAGCTGAGCCCTCTCCTTTTCTAGGTGAGTTTGTCATTGGACGCGTGATCAAGGCCATGAACACCAACTGGCATCCAGGCTGCTTCCGCTGTGAGTTGTGCGACGTGGAGCTGGCTGACCTGGGCTTTGTGAAGAATGCAGGCAGGTGAGGCAGCTGCACTCTAGGTGTCAAGGTCCAGCAAAGTAGCAGGGGCCTTCCAGGCTTTGCCTGCCGAGTCCTTGTTCTACTTCTCCTAGACGGAGAACAAGGTCTCCAGGGTATGGGTAAGGATGGGGGCAGGAGAGTGAGGACAGACAGGGCTTCCTCTGGGCAAGAGATACTTCTTTGGGAGCAGCAGGCATGAAGGGTCTTGGGTGGCTATGGATGGATGAGGAGCAGGCAAATCCCTGTTATGCCTGGTATCCTACCTGCTGCTACCGAACCATGCTGCCCCGGATGTCTGTCTTCTTGCTGTACATACTGGCTGGAGAATGCTGGATGATACCCCTTAACCAGGTTGCTCAGTTTACCCTAAATTCAGAACTGTAAGCTTCTTTGGTACTCTGGCAGTTCCCTTTCCAAGAAGCTTTTAGACTTTCTTCTCACACCTGCCTCCATCACTGTGGGCTCTACACTTCCCCTGCAGCCATGACCTGGTCCCCTACCTGTGTGGGAAAGGGTTGGGGGAGCTCCCAGAAACACCTTTGTGCCCTGAAGCCCTTCCAAGCATGTTGACCTCTAGTCTCAGGTCAAGTGTGGGTATCACCAAGTCCCTCCTTGACCCCCAGTGGCCTCACAGCTTGACTAAACTACATCCTCTCCCAGTGAGGCCTCTGTTCTGTGCTAGCTTCCTCCAGCTTCTCCCTGCACAGAGGTGTTCTTTGGGCCCATGCTCATACTTGCCCTTGAAGATGAAGTCTTGGATCTCTCAAGTGGCACATCTAGACAACACGGCGGCCTCTTCCAGCTCTCTCCTTTGCTCAGTTCCCCTGCCTGTGTGGTATCTCCATTTGAGATTCCAACACAACAGGTTCCAAATAGAGCTGCAAATTTCTGCTCCTCTGACCCAAGTCTGCTTCTGCATCTTCTGTTCCAGGAAAGGCTTTGCTGTCTTCCAGAAATCCCCCGGCTTCCCACAAGACTGCCCTTCCTGTCTGAGTACTCGGTTCTCTGTCAAAGCCCCTCTGTCACTTTTGTCCCAGCCAACGGTGATCTTATTCCTTTGCTATGCCACTGGGAAGGCACAAGACCTCGCTCTGGTCCTGGCATCTGTAAAGCATGGTCTTGTATTCAGCAGGCTGTCTTGGTGAGGGACCACAAGGGTGGACAGGCCTGTACTGGTGAGAAGTAATGCTGCACATCAGGGGCATCAGTCTGGGCTGTGCTCTTTCTGAGATGAGCCATGAACAGGCCACTACCCCATGCTTTGAAACACAAAATGTAACAGACGAAGATAGGGTTTCTCCATTGATGGGCAGGGTGTGGTTGAAGGGTTAAGTTAAGAGCCCTTCTAACCTAGAATGGCCTGGATCTTCAAGATGCACAGCTTTAGATCAGCCTCGGGCAGACATGCCATGGGGCCACTAGAACCGCAATAAGGGAAGCATTGGCTTGGTCATTCTTAGTGGAAGGGAAGAGAATGTCAGGGGGAGGGCATCATGTGTCATGTTGAACTGGCACAAACATTTCATTCACTTTAAGGCTCGATTATGTTTAAGAGTAGTAAAAACAAGTATAAAAAAAAAAATGGATGCATAAGATTGGCCAACACATGCTGACAAGTCCAACAGTTCAAACCCAGGCAGCTGAGGCTGGCAGAAGCCTCTTGGGAGAGAGTGGGGATGTCCCTTCTGGGCTTCAGTGAACTGAAGACAGGTTCACACACCTGGCTCCCTGCCCTCATCAGGCTCTAATGGCTGTCCAACTATGCCATATGCCTGACCAGGCCACCTGCTATGTCTAGAGTTTCTCAGTAGAGGCAGGTGTGGGACATGGTTATAGCAGGAGAGTCCAGAGCTGTGTTTGCTGGACTCACATGCAGCCAGTCTGAAATATACTCATGTGTGGCTATCATAGAGTCTGTGTCCCCTAAACTCCTAAAGAGACCATCTCCCAAGGCTAGCAAGGGCACTGTAAGGAACATACCATGTACTTCAAAGGAAATATTAGACACCCCTCTAGTTCCAATGAGATCTGTGCTGCCTCTTTTTCTGGGTCCCAGGCAGCTTTCTTTCTGGGTTCTTCTGTAGGGCTTTGTTGCTCTGGGCATCTGTGGTATGAAAGAAGATGGAAGTTTCGTGGGGAAGAAAGATTCCCATTGTTCCAGAAATGTCCCTGTGGCTCTCTTCCCTATTTAGCTCCAGTGAAGTCACTGAGTGTCTGGGAGCTGTAAATAAGGCAGGCCAACCCTGTCCCCATGGAAGGGAGGGCGGGGCATCCTGTAGTTAGCACTCCCTCTGGATGGGTTTTCAGACTGCATGGCCTTGCATTAAGACCTTGGAGCAGGGTGAGAAGTGCTGACATTTCAGTTTGTTTGCCCAGGGTGTGGTGAGGGAAGATAGACTTCTTTAGCTGGCTCTAGTAGCATGTGCCCCAGTGGACAGCTGGTCCCCCTACAACAGTCTACAGCTGGCCTGGTGACAGGGCCTGCTTGAGTCTCACAGCTCAGATCGGGCACTTAGGGAGCTCTCGTTGGTTTTCCGTTCGAAGCTTGTAGGTGGGCCTGTGAGCCGTTTGCTGCAGAGCAAGTTGCACAAGGCATGGCGGAACTTCTCAGCCACGAAGAAGTACATGACAGGGTCCAGGGCCCCGTTAAGGCTGGTGAGACATGAGGTGATACGATTCCCTAGGGCCAGGGCACGCTGAGCAGTGCACGAAATCCCACCACCACGATAGTGAAGCACATAGACCGAGCGGTGGATGTGGTAGGGCACAAAGCAGATGAGGAAGATGGCCAGAACCATAGCAATCATGCGCACGGCTTTGTTCTTGAGGTGCTTCTCTATACGGGGACCCTGGCGCAGGCTTCGGATGATCAGCAGGTAGCAGGTGACTGTGGTAATGAATGGGAAGGTGAAAGCCACAGCCAGAGATGCCAGGGCATGATGGGAGGCCTTCTCCCGGTACAGTTGCAGGCAGACGACTGTGTGGTTGGTCTGCACAGTCTGTGGGCTGACTAGAAGTGGGGCCATAGCCACAGCTACCACCACCCACAGGAAGGCACAGGCCAGGTGGGCATAGAGAGGCCTTCGGAGCTTTAGGGACTTGACTGGGTGTACAATGGCCAGGAATCGGTCAGCGCTGATACAGGTGAGGAAGTAGATGCTGGCATACATATTGAGGTAGAAGAGGAAGCCGGTGAGTCGGCATGGGATTTCCCCAAATGGCCAGTGATTCCCAGAGAAGTGATAAACCAGCCGGGTAGGCAGGACCAGCACACAAGACAAGTCGGCCACAGCCAGGTGCATCAGGAACACGTTGGCCGGGGTCCCTGACTTCTGGTCCCATATGAAAAGCCATAGGGCCAGAGAATTGCCCACAAAAGCTAGGATGAAATCCAGAAGGTAGAAGCAAGCGAAGATCATGTTCTCTAGGGGAGTCTCCTGTCCACATTGCTCAGAGTAAGCCAGGGAGGAGTTGTCAGTCAGACTTGGTAGGGCTGTTTCCAGGCCATTCATGTTGTGGCAGAACAGGGGAACAGAGCTGGAGGGAATACAGAACCAGTTATAGGATCCCAGAGTGCACCCCCAAAGTCAGAGGCAAGGCCCCTGATGCCTTCAGAGTCTCCTGGCACTACCTTGGAAGGAGCAGAGCTTTTCTAAGCTTGGCATAGCTGCTAAACTACCAAAGGTAACTCTTGTGTCTGGGGGATTTTCTGTCTTTGGAGCTGGTTGAATCTCAGGCAAATCCAACTGAGGCGTGGTTGTTCCCGTGAGTAAGGAGAGCCTGGGGTAATTGTTGGAAGACCCAGACCTGGAAGCTGCTTTCTGCACTGTGCCTGTGATCTACTCCCTCAGGCTTTCAGGGTGGAGTTAGCACTGGAGGGAAGCAAGCTTGATAGCCTGCGCTTGTGAGGACAAGAAGAGCCATTATTTCCTTTACTAATCCCACCCGAAGGCAGGGGTAGCATTATGTGTGAGGAGGTCCCTTAAACATACTCCCCAGAGCTGAGTACGTAGGATCTGTTGCTAAGAGCCTGGTGTGTGGCACCCACCAGTCCTTCTGTGCTGGCTTGCCTGGTGAGCCTGCTCACTCTGAGTTCCGGGACCTTCCTGAACTCTGGCCTGGTCTGCAATGAGCAATATGTCACTACTTTTTGTCCCACACTCTTGCTCCTCCCGTGTTTCTTAGCAGGGTTTCCAACAGGGCTGCACTGGTCTGTCATAGCATTCAAGAGTTTTCCACACTTAGCTGGTCAACTCCATTTTGTCCAGCTTTTTTGGGTGAGAGCTAGGTTTAGGAAACCTCTGCCAGGGCCTCAGGCCAGGAGTCCCTTCCGAGCCAAGGTGTTCCACAGCCCAAGTTGGGGTATGGGGGAGTCCTGCATGTTCCAGGATACTGTTTCACCTCTGGGGGCCAAGGTGACCCTGTGGCCAGAGCTGGGAGTGGCTCATCACATACCACGCACTGGAGTCGCCCATTGTCCTTCGTGGGGGCATTTCCAGGACAGGCTGCCTAAATCTGGGGGCTCAGTGTAAAATGAAAATGCATATCCCCTCACTCAAAAAAAGAAGGATTTGTGTTGAGGATGTAACTTAGGGGGGGAGTGCTTGCCGGATGTGCATGAGACCTGGGTGTGATTCCCAGCATATGAACTGGGCGTGGTGGCAAGTGCCTGTAATCCCAACACTTGGAGCGTGGGCAAGAGGTCAGGGTCATCCTCCATTATATAGAAAGTTCAAGACCAGCCTAAGCCATGGCTTTAACAAATAATAATAATTCTAAAAAGTAAGAATTTCAGGGTCCTGGACATCGGTAAACAGCTCAGGGCCCCGTGTGACTGCATGGCGTTTCCGCTCTGTCACTTCCACTTAGTCTCCAGAGACCTCCACCCTTCCCTGCCCACCCCTGCCTCCCAGCCCTCCCTGCCCATCCCTGCCCCTTACCTCTTGCAGAGGATCCAGGAGGGAAAGGAAAGGGAGCAGGTAAGCTGTGAGCGGACCGTGGATGGTGCTCCAGGTGGACTCCCTGTAGCCGTGGGAAGGAGGCTTGACTATTTAAGGAGAGCCCACAGCGCCTCGGAACCTGAAAAGCAGCTTCATTCCTGAGGGGTCCTTTGTGGGGTAGGCTGCTTTTCCAGCTGGGTCTGCTTCCACAGAGCACGTACTGAATATTCCAGTGTGTCCTCAGATTGTGCATACCCCCATCCCCCCCCGTCAGGCCACAGAGCATCACAGAGGCCAAGTGTGTGACCGTCCTGGGAGCCTGGGAGTGGGCTAGGGCTGGGCCGGGTGGGGGTCTTTAGCTGGAATTGACAGACACAACAGGACATTTCAGAAGGGGATGCTTTTCTATTAGTGGGGGGAGAGGGAGGGGTCAGCTACCATGGCAACGGGCCAGGATCCCAAGCTTACTGGGTTGGTGGTGGGGTGGGGAGGGTGGGGGGATGTTGTTATACATGCCAGGGTTGGAGCTGAGGAGTCTAGGGCCAGATGAGAGGGGATTCTTTCAGACACTTGCTGTAGGGTCCTTGTGTCCTGTCCTGTATAATTAGTCCCCATTCGGGTGTGTGGAATAAATCATGGCCTTCATGCAGAGCCCGGCACAGCTGCAGGCGCCGTATAAAGGGGGTGCTGTCTGTGCTGTGGGGCTGCAGCTCAGCTCAGCAGGCCTGACTTTTGCCTGGGAGGGCTTCTCAGCAGAGCATGGCCAGCAGGAGGGCCTCAGTGGCTCGATGACCACGGCTCTTGCTCTTCTGGGGTGGCTCAAAGTTGAGATGTGTTGGGCGTTGCCTGTGACTCATCCAAGTTCATCAAGGCTGATATCACTACTGTGGCAGCCATACAGCACAGCCAAATCAACATTCTTAGTTTCAAAAGACTTAAAGTTTTCAGTTGAAGTGTTTGAAATTACGGCTGGGGGGATACAGCCGAGCCAGCACAGAGCTTGTCTAGTGTGAGGGCAAAACCCTGAGTTTCATCCTTAAGGCTGCATAAACTGTGGTGGCCCATACCTGTGTTCCCTGTGCTTGAGAAGCAGAGGCAGGAAGATGAGAAGTTCAAGGTCATCTTTATCTGCCTAGTGAGTTTGAAGTCAGCCTGAGAGACATGAGATCTTGTCTCAAAAATAAACAAGCAAAACATTTACAATTATGTGTGCTTAACATCCGGAGAGGCCCTGCTACCCAGTGGCATCTATTTTCAGTTTGTCTTTTCACACAGCACTGTGCAGCTGGGGATTGTGCCCCCTTTGGCAGTTGAGGAAGCCCAGGCTCAGAAAACTAAATCATTCACCCTGTGGCAAGCTCTAGCAAGTGGCAGAGCCTGGCTCTACACCCCAGCACATGCCACTGCAGAAGTAAGGCTTTATGCACATTTGTTCCTTTCTGCTTGCCTGATGCGTTTTAACAGAATTCTTTTTAGGGGGAGAGGGATGGAGACAGGGTTTCTCTGTGTAGCTCTGGCTTTTCTGGAACTCACCCTGTAGACCAGGCTGGCCTCGAACTCACAGAGATCTCTTGTCTCTGCCTTCCGAGTGCTGGGGTTAAAGAACATGAGAATTCTTATGCTCCACCTTACCTCTCTCTCTCTTCTGTCTGTCTCTCTCTCTCTGTGTGGAGTGTATGTGTAGGACTGTGCACAAGCGAGCTCATAAAACAGGAAACTGAGCTGAGTGTGTAGATGGTGACTTCACGAAGTTCTAAAGGCCTCTTGGAGAGAAAATTAAAGTGGTACCTAAGAAGCTGGGGATATAGCTCGTCAAGTGTTTTCCATGGAAGCAAGAAAACTGAATTTGATCCCCAAAACCCATGTGAAGAACCTTGGTGTCGTAGCATTTGCCTATAATCATCTCAGCCCTGGGGGAGTAGAGGCAGGGAGGTCGTTGGGGGTTCTTTAGCCAGCTATAGTAACCAGACCAGAAAGTTCCAAGCCAGGGAGAAATCTCGTCACTGAAGAAAAGGTCAGTGGTTGGAGAGATGGCTCAGTAGTTAAGAGCACTTGCTGCCCTTGTGGAGGACCTAGGTTCTTGCTCACATGGGCTGGACATGAAATTGGCTGTCCTGAGCAGAGCATTCTTGGACTCACATATGGTTTTTCATTTTTCTGAGGCGAGGGATTGACTCGAGGACCTTGTGCACGCTGGGTCTGGAGTTACTCCTTCAGCTCATCACAGGTTTTCTGTTACTGAGGTAGCTTCAAGGACACTGACACTTTCACAATTTTGCAATAGAATTTTAGGGAGCTGAGCTGTGTGTGTGGAGGCCAGAGATAAACCTTAGATGTTGTTCCTTAAGTGCCACCTGGCTTTTTTTTTTTTTTTTCTTGACAGGGTTTCTCTGTGTAGCACTGTCCACCCTGGAACTCACTTTGTAGGCCAGACTGACCTTGAACTCACAGAGTCAGTAGCTCAGCAAGTAGCATCAGACACCTTGCTTGAGTCTCAACATTGTGCTGGTCTCAGAAGATAAGACTTCAGGGCAAGTAGAGAGTAATGCTCTGTGGCACAATTCCAGAGAACACAGAGGTAGCGGGGGTCCACCTGGATAAGGGGGTTCGTGAGTCAGTCTCTGTGACAGAGCCTGTGAGACGGGACATGAGTGTCAAAAGAAATGAGATGGAGAACAGTTTGACCTGAGATTGACCTCTGACCTGCACACATGTGTGCACACCTGTATATACAACTTCAGGCACAGGTGCGCAGTTCACACACATATGTATATGCTATACATGCTCCCACGTGTGTGTGTGTGCGCACACACACACACACAGAGAAAGAGGGCTAATGATTGGTTAGCTGTGGAGGCTAGTGACAGGTGGAGAATTGCCCCTGTGGATTTTGGAGCCTAGGGAGGAGGGCCAGGTTCCAGCAGGGTTACCCTATTGGGGTGACAAGTGGGGAATGGAGGGCGAGGGGCATTGGATTGGAGATTTTGTGCATCCTTTGTCTGAGGACCCTGAATCTAAATTCTTTGCACCCTCAATGATGAGGAAACAGAACCTGTGTTGATTTCCTTCTCTGTTAAGACCACAGCTGTTGCTCAGGGCAAGGAACAGAATCAGAAATGACTAAAGTCTTCACAAAAAAAGGCTCTGTGATGGCAGTGGCTGGGTTCAGGAGCCTCCATGTGACACAGCTTTACTTGTCTCTGGGGACAGAAAGCACTTGTGAGCATTAGGGCCCCTCTTCATCTGGCAGACTCCAAAGGAAGGGATGAGTGAGCCCTGCTTGGATCTGGCTACTCTGCCATGCACTGTGGCATTCTGTGCCTCACCTTCCCTGTGACTTGCTCTAAGAGACATGTGACAAGGAAAACATCTCATCTCAGCAAATAGCAGCTAAGTATCTCTTCTGTATTATAGGATGCCCAGGCTCAGGAAACCTTGGCAAAGATGCATGCTTTCCAATGACAGCAAATACAGGCATGCCAATGTATGTGTGTTGTTTCCAGAATATGGTGTTGGGGTTCAAACTCAGGTTGTCAGGTTTAGTGGCGAGTGCCTTTACCTGCCGAGCTGGCTTTCCTGCCCTCATCTTCTGCAGAGTGCGGGGCACCCCTTCCAGAATCATCACCTATGACTTTCCATGTCTTGCGACAGAAAAACTTTCTCAAACTTGGGCTCATTCACTTTGAATTACCCAGATGTTAATGAGGCTACACGCAGGTCTCTAGATGTCCTTTCCCAGAAGGTGGTCAGGCAATTCTGGGAAAAAGTAAGGGAGGACTTCTCCTTGACAGGCCTCTTATCTCCTACAGGCACCTCTGCCGGCCTTGCCACAGCCGTGAGAAAGCCAAGGGCCTGGGCAAATTCATCTGCCAGCGGTGTCACCTAGCCATTGATGAACAGGCCCTCATGTTCAAGAATGATCCCTACCATCCGGACCACTTCAGCTGTTCCCACTGTGGGTAGGTGCCTAGTCCTGGTTCTGTAAATGGCAAGGGCAATCGTGGCTGTCATAGAGCAGGGCTTCTGGGGTCCCACCCAGGACAGAGGCAAACAAGGTATGCATAGAGGGTGCTCATGAGGCATAGAGCTGCAGGGTAGAGGTGGGATGAGGCCGGAAGCCCCTCTCTCCAGGGCTCCCTGTCCAGGGGCACTTGTCATTTGAGGAGAACATAAGGGGCAGCCCTGTACGGTAGCACTCTGGTTGAGATAGAACAGAGAAGAAAGAGTAGCGTGTGTAAGATTCATATGGGTGTTGAAGAGAGGAGAAAGAGGAGAGGAAAGCTGACAGTATCCTATGGTCCCCAGCATCCCTCCCGTGCTTGCCCCAGACACTGCATCGGGTTTAAAGGGGAGTCAGAAGAAACATGCCTTTCTCTTAAGAACCTATCTGGATGGAGCACTGCATGCCCGGGCGGGGATTCTGTGCTCTGGGGCCTGTCTGGGGTGCACACAGGAAGTTTCCAGAGATCAGAGCAAGCCGGCTCAGCGAGAGCAGACGCCTCAGGCACAGTTCCCTGGACCAAGGGTGGCAGTGGTCCTTGAGAAGGTCAGGGCTGCCCCTGAGGATACTGTGTGCTGTCTTCCAGGAAGGAGCTGACTGCTGATGCCCGAGAGCTGAAGGGTGAGCTATACTGCTTGCCTTGCCATGACAAGATGGGCGTCCCCATCTGTGGGGCCTGTCGCCGGCCAATTGAGGGCCGTGTGGTCAACGCATTGGGCAAGCAGTGGCATGTGGAGGTGAGCCTGTGAGCGGGACACAAATTCATGTTAAGAAGTGGCCTGGTTAGCAGTCTCTCTGAGCCTCATCCCAGGCTGTGCACTGGCTGGTTCCCTGTGAAAACATTTCTCTGAGGGCAGCCTCTCCTTGTTCTGGACAGAACTCTATGACAGCCAGGAAACAAGAGCTCACAGGCCATGATCAGGTAGCCACACTCACCTTACCTTTTACCTATCTTTGCAGTCTGGAACAAACCTTTAGGCACAGTCTGCCCAGAGCAACTGTGGGGCTGTGGATGACAGGACCTGTTGGGTGCACAGGTCCATACAGACATGGAGCTGGTAGACTCCTGGGTCAGCTCTTGTCCTTTTCCTGAGCACTGTCACACTCTTACGAATACCCTTGGAGGGGATGCTTGCAGTGCCAGTGGCCTGGCCATCTCTATGTCCATGAGCAGAGCCTGGCTGGTCTCCTAGCAAAGGCTATGGGATGCGCTGCCCTCTCTCTGGGGTATTGTGGGACCTTACATGCTCAAAAGGATAGTAAGTTGTTCTTAGATTCTCCAGGCTCGGGGTGTGTGTGTGTGTGTGTGTGTGTGTGTGTGTGTGTGTGTGTGTATGCATATGAGGCACTTACTAATATCAGGGCAGCTCCACCTATGTGGGCTCATGATCTGTTTGCTAAGCAGGATCCCAGTGACAAAGGGTATCGTTGTGATATGTTCAAGGATGATGAGGAGGGCTGGCAATGTATGTAGCTCAGCTGGAAGAGTGCCTGTATTGTGTACACAAAGACCTGAGTTTAGTCCCCAATACTGTATCAAGGCAGGCATGATAGAGCTTGCCTATAATCCTACCACTTGGGAAAATCAGAAGCTCAGTATCATCCTTGACTACACAGCGAGTTTGAAAACATTCTGGGCTACATGAGCCCTTGCCTTGAGAAAAGTAAAAACAGAAGGGTCAGCTGGTTCCTACAGCATCCACACTGGTATCGGTTCTGCCCAGCTGTGAGCCTTGTCCCTTTCCCTGTCTTCTGGGGTCCCCGCAGCAGCCCTGATGTTGCCCAGTCACTGCCTCTTTCTTTCAGCACTTTGTCTGTGCCAAGTGTGAGAAGCCATTCCTGGGGCACCGGCACTATGAGAAGAAGGGCCTAGCCTACTGTGAGACCCACTATAACCAGGTACGGCCGGGGATGATCCTGAAAAGACACAGGGCTGGAGGGCGGTCAGGGGCCCCAGGACACAGGGCTGGAGGGCGGTCAGGGGCCTCAGGACCTTGAGAGAGCAGAGCTGGAGCTGTGTTCAGACATCTCCATGTGTGGACATGGTGCTTGGGTGACCTGTTGGAGAAGGTCATGAGAAAGGTTATGGACCCTGTTGCTCTCTCTCTGGGGGACAATGTGTCCCCATGTGCTGAAAAGCACAGCAAGATGCTTCCTGGGGTATTTGGGCTTGTGGGGTCTCCTCTTACATGAGTGGGGGGTGCTGTAGGCACCTGAAAGTCCATAGTATGCACCAGAAGCCAGGCTTGTGTGTTCAGGCCCTGGGTCCCGGCTTAGACTTGAAGCCCAAGTATAAGTAAGAGATGTAAGCAGCTGTCCACACAGTGTCTTCATTTGATAGAATGCCATTGTGGCCCCAGAGGCTGATGGGATGAGGTCCCACCCTGGCCCTCATTCTTGCAGGAGGACTTCATGGGATGCATCAGTGGGAAGCAATAGGGGCATTGGGGGGCAGTGTCTCAACTTGTGGCCCTTCCCAGGGAGTGCTTCTAGTGGGCTCGGCGTCCCCAGGAATGACTCAAGGGGTTGTTATGCCTTTGTCCACAGCTCTTTGGGGATGTCTGTTACAACTGCAGTCATGTGATTGAGGGTGACGGTGAGGCCTCTGTCCCCAGACCCCTCCCTCCCTTGCTTTCTCTCAACCAGCCGGTTCTCCTGGGGTGGGGGGCGCTGGTGGGGTGGTGGTGGGTGGGAGGGGTTGGAGGTTGGAGTGGTGGTGGGTGGAGGGGAGGTTGTCACACAGCTGCAGGTCCATCTGGCCCTGGCTGTGTGTATCTGGCCTGCAGCTGGCCTGGGTGGGGCTTGCTAAACCCACATCTGGTCTCACAGTGGTGTCAGCCCTCAGCAAAGCCTGGTGCGTGAACTGCTTCTCCTGCTCTGCCTGCAACATGAAGCTCACTCTGAAGTGAGTGGCGGGTGGGCACTTTGCATCCCTGACTCTCCAGTCTGCTTTCCCTGAACTCCACGCTCAGGCAAGCCCTGGGCATGTGTGAGGCAGGAACTGGCCCGGCAGATGAGGGACCCCAGGAACCCTAGCGAGCGATGAAGGAGGCAGTTACACCCTTACAAGAATCCTGGGCTTTGGGAACAGTATATGTAAAGGCAAGCTGTCAGGTGGCTGGCTCTCTCCTCAAGACTCTAAGGGTATGGGGTGTCTGGAACTGTGAGGTGGGGTGGAGCTCAGGCTTCCGAGAGCAGCAGAAAGCCATAGAGGGTTCTAGAGAGACACCTCTATGAGGAAAGGGAGGATAGAGGCTCATCTCTTCTTCTCCTGGGCCCTTTGGCCAACATCTTTCCCTGGAGCCTGGTCTGCTGGCTGTGACAGGCTGAGGTGGGAGGGCAGAGGGCTGGCAGCTGAGGGAATCTTGCTCCTCTGTCTCTGGGCTACTGTCTGGAGTCAGGGTTGCTAAGGCTTAGACTGCTGGGGCTCTGTCTGCAGGAACAAGTTTGTGGAGTTCGATATGAAGCCTGTGTGTAAGAGATGCTATGAAAAGTTCCCCCTGGAGCTGAAGAAGAGGCTGAAGAAGCTGTCTGACATGACCTCACGCAAGGCCCAGCCCAAGTCTGTGGACATCAACTCAGTCTGAAGGGCCTCAGCCCCATGTGCCTGCCTGCCCCAATTCCCGCTGGCCACCTCGCACTTCTGCTCCATCCCCGGCCCCTCCCTCTGTTCCCAGTCTACCTTGGGCTACATAGTACTCCCTTCTGCACTGAGACCTGGCCTGCCCTCATGGGCATTTCTTCAGGTGCCTACAATCTCTGGGGCAGGAACAAACTGGGGCCAGGGTTATCTGCCATTTGCTCGGCCCACGGATCCCAGCCTGACACCTGTCCTTTCCACTCTCCTGGGAATGTTTCAGTCTCAGAGAGACCCTTGGGCTTGGCTGGGAAGCTGTTCCAGCCCCAGGGCCAGCACCATGCAGATGGAGGCTTCTGGGGGAGAGGTAATCCTATAGTTATTCAACCACATTAGGTCCCTGTGCTTACACTGCAAATCCAGCCACCTCTGGGGTGACCCAGCTGGAGGGCTGAGATTCCCATCGCCCTCACTACTCAGGAGAGTTTGCAGAAAGCCGCTAGGCTGCCCACCAAGGCTGGGGTCCCACTTCCCAGTATGTGTGTATGTGTCGGGGGGGGGGGGGATTGCCCCAGCCAGCTCAGACCTGCAAGCAGTCTGCACAATGAAGGCTGATTCACACACTGGGAGTACTTGCGTGGTTTGTGGGAGGGATGGAAGAGGACCATGCTGTAGAGCTACCTCTGCGGCCGATGATCAGCACTCAGAGACACCCCCAGACAGGCAGGCCAGAGACTTTCGGGTTTCCCAGGTTGGCTGCCACCAGGATTTGTAGACAAAATCAGGCCTAGGTGGCAGTGGCCATGTGGGCTAGCTTGGTGAGTGTGTGGTGCTGGTGGGTTATCTCTCAAAGCCTATCAACTGGACAGGTCCCCAAAGTCCTGTTTACCGCCATGGACATGTCCTTTCCACCAGGCCCTCCAGGTGGCACAGCAGGAAGCAGGGTCTCCAGGGACCCCTCTGACGACAATAGAGAAGGGAGCGGTGGCAGGGGAGGGGAGGAAGGAGAAAGGCAGATGAAGTCATGCCTGGAGAGTATGATGTCACCTGGTTTCGGGAAAAAATCATAGTGCCCTTTGCTTTATCTGGATGAGACCCTCTGGTGGGTGGAGAGCTTCCCAGACTGGAGGTTGTCCGCCTACCCTCCCGCCCTACCCCTCCGAGACACACACAACCTCCCGGTAGGTGAATTTTTATTGTGAATTCAGGAGAGTTACCCATCACCTCCCAGGAGGATTGAGACCTCTGTCAGCCTCTCTACCCAGGAGGGGTGGTCTGATGTGCCGAGAAGGGTATGGAAGCCCGACATGGAAGGCTGAGTGCAGATGGGACCTGTTAGGGGTTGGCCAGGGCTGGGGCCCTGAAGCCACGCTGTTTGTTCACGGCATTCATGAGCTGCTGTACATACGAGGTCAGCAGGTCATCCATCTTGTAGCCCTAGATAGGACAGGCTAGGTCAGAGGCTGTGGGTGCAGGGAGAGCCCTGAGGCCTCGTGGTAGAGCTGAAGGAGAGGAGGACAGCAAACTCCTTCATGCTGGGCTTCGCTGCTGCTTTCTCTAGTGGACCTGAGTCCCACCCTCTCCCCAGAATGGGCTGCCATGGCCCAGAGTCAGCTCAGAGTCTTTGGACGTGACCGCTGGCTGCCAGCCTTGGGGGTCCATCTAACCTCCCGACATGCCTTGGCTGGCTTAGCCTGGTCCTGGGTAAGCAGTCTCTCACAGTGAGAAACTTCCATGTGGAAGTGAGTAATGAGAACTCCCCAGCATCTCGGGGTGCTGCGTAGGGGTGGCAGATGGGGGCCCATGCTCACCAGAGAGGTCTCACACAGCAAACGGCTGCCCTGACCCAGGCTCCCCAATGCCATGTGGAAGTAGGTGCTGCCACTACTCCAGCTGGAGATCTTGGTGAAAGGGTAGGTGTTCAGCAGTTCCTGGGGACAGAGAGGCAAGTGGCAGGAGGCTGGCTGCAGGGGAGGGGCAGACAGAAAGGCAAGTGTCCCGCCCCAACTGGATGACTGCTGTGATGCCTGCACAGCCCCTGATGCTCTACCTTGGTCTTGGGGTGGATGAGTAGCAACCCGTGTCTGTTGATGGCGATGAGGAGAATGTCGGGGTAGGAAGGCTCAGAGGTTTGCTGAGGAGAGAGAGACACAATGATGGTAGACAAGGCTGGGGGTCAGGGAACCAGCTTGTGTGTGTGTTCATGTATACACAGGGTGTGCATGCATGCGCATGTGTGTGGTCTGTGCACACATGTGCCTGTGTGTGGAGGTCAGAGGTCAATCTTGGGTATCATTCCTCAGGTGCCAGTCACCTTTGCTTTTCAAACATGTATTTATTGTGTGTGTCTGCCCATGGCACGTGTGTGAGTGGAGGTCAGTGACAAGTGCAGGAGTTGATCGATGCATTCTTCCTACCATGTGGGTCCTAGGGATTGAACTCAGATCATTAACTTACAGAGCCATCTCACTGGTTGTATGTACATACATTGCATGCATGTATATGTTTTTGAAATAAGGTCTCTCACCGTCCTGGAGCTCACCAAATAGGCTTGGCTGGCTGGCCACCCAATCTCCATCCCCCCAGCATTAGGATTGCTAGCAGGTGGCATCATGCCCAGCTTTGTTATTGTGTTTCCACCTGAGTTCTGAGGACCAAACTCAGGTCCTTCTGCTTGCAAGGCAAGCACGTTGTCAATCCAGATCTCCTCAGCTCCTAGGTGGCCACTTTCTAAACGTTTCGTTAGAGCTACAGTTGGAACACCCACTCCCCCAGTCATACTCACTGAGGGCTCAGCTGAATGGGGCCTGCTTGGGGGCAGGAGCTGGGCATGGATTAAAGCCTACCTTCACCTCAAAGAAGGCAGACCCAAAGGTAGGCCAGCGGCAGATCCACTTCAGGAACTCCACCTTGGCCTCTGCCACGGTCTTGTTTTTGTGTTTGTCACATTCCAGAAGGAGGCTCTGATGGAAAAGAGAGCCACTGAGGACCTGGGCAGGCAGGCTGCCCTGTCCGGATGGGGCCTGGCACACAGGGCATGGACACCCAGGGCTCTGAGACTCAGGCCAGGGCAATGCCCATCTATCTGGAAGTCAGAGTAGAGGCAGGGCCTCAGAAGTACTAAGGACAGGGCAGGAAAAGACCAGATGCAGGCAGCCCGCATCCCAAGCCACCCGGCCTGCGCATCCACTCAGTCCCTCTTAAAGACCTTTTTCCACTCCTCGGAGGACATCAGTCGCATGAGGTTCTGCGGCACCAGCTCCTTCAGGATCTTTGAGACACTAGCCAGTTGAGACTGGTCAATGCCAAACTGGACTCTATAGATGAGACCTGCTAGGTGGACGGCATCCTCCCGGGAGCACTTGTGAAAACCTCGCAGGTACTTGGGTAGCTCCTGAGTGGCAGACATGCTGGGCCTCAGGTGACAGGAGCCTGGGGGGGTGTCTTATCCTTCCCATTCACTAACTGAGCAGGCCAAAGGCTGAGGACCTCAGGGAGAGCCCTAAGTGAGGGCTCCCTGGTATTGGGCTGTGGTGGGCATGGGCTGGTGCATCAAGTTCAGCCTTCTGCGTGCTCTTCTTCCCAGCTCATAATGTAGACCTTGTCCTCAGAGCTACCGTGCGTGCCCTATTGTCCCCAGAACCCTCAGGGTCTTGGCCTCCTCTCCTCATTGCAATTGCCTAGGGCAAGCCAGTCCCTCCCTGGCCCACCCCTCCCTCCCATGTCTCAGAACTGGTTTGGGATAGGATGGCGATGGTTCTTGTGACCCCAAGGGTACCCCTGATGGGTACCTGGTGGTAGTGGAGTATGGTGTCTGCATTCACATCCTTCCCAGGGGTCACGTTGAGCCACAATTTCCTCATGAAGAACACCTGGTAGGGAAGTGTTATGGGGGCCCCTAGAAGAGGGGCGGCAGTGGGCACCAAGCCTATCCCGGAAGGCTCCAAAGACACAATCCTGAAGAAAACAGTCCTAGCCTTCACAGGACTCCTGCTGCTTTCTGGCCTGGAAAGTCTGGGTACTTCCTCCTCCCCGACTCCTGACATGTCCCTGGACGCCCCTCCCCCACCCTCAGGGAGTAGCCGTCTGCATGTCTAGGGCACATGGGGGTGAGTGAGAATGGGTGTGATTCAGGAAGCAGCCACTCCTCCACAGAAATGCCCCTCACCTTCTTTCTGAGGTCTGTTCTTCTTCACCCAGTCAGATACCTGCCTCAGGCTGTCAAAAAAGAACTCTCCTTCCTTCAGGCTGATGACCTAGGGAAGAGGCAGGGGCAGGCATGGCGGCTTCCGGGGAGTATCCTCCAAGGAGAGCCAGTAGAGCTGGATCCAGAAACCATGTTTTGGCTGGGTGGGCTCACTGGGGTTGACCAGCAGAGGGCGCCACTGCAAGACACCACCCCCTTCATCCCAATAGCTCCAGGGGTGCACTGAAGGGCCTGGCTAGCATAGTGTTCTAGGCAGGCTGAGGTCTGCTGGTCATGGGAGGCCTCCTCAGGCAAGAGGACCCTGTCCTACTCCTTGGCCTAGCAAGTTGCTCACCTTGTCTGTGATCTTGATGAAGAGACTACAGCCATCCAAGGAGGCCAGCTTCAGCCTAGTGGCGATGCCCTCACACAGGTCTCGCACCCGGCTACTGCTGTTCACATCCATTGTCTGCACAGAGAGATAGCGGGTGAGGCCCAGGTCCCAGCATGGGCAGGGCAAGAAGGCTTCCCAAGCCTATGTCCTCCTTTACCTGTGTGTGTGTGTGTGGGGGGGTGCTATTTATCCATGTTCATGTGGGTCATGTGCATTTGTGTACACATGTATGTGAAGGCCAGAGTTGAAACTCTAGTGTCTGTCCTTTCTTCCTTCCCTCCCTTTGTCCCTCTCTCCCTCTTCCTTCCTTCCTTCCTTCCTTCCTTCCTTCCTTTCTTTTTGTCTTTCTCTTGAGACCCAATTTCTGTGTACCCCTGGCTATCCCCAAACAAACTCTGTAGCCCACACTGGCCTTGAACTCATATTTACCTTCCTCTGCCTCCCAAGTGCTGGGATTAAAAGTGTTCACCACTACACCTTTAAAGGTACTCAACTTACTCATGTGTCTTTCTTAATTGCTATCCACATTATTTTCAAAGACAGGGTCTCTCACTGAATGTGGAACTCATCCATTTGGCTAGGGTGACTGCAAGTCCCAGGGAGTCTCTACTGCCCCAAGTGCCATAGAACCCAGCTTTTACTCAGGGGCCAGAGATCTGAACTAAAATCCCCCTGTTTGTCTGGCAATACTTTAGTGACTGAACCATCACCCTGAAATTGTTTTTTTATCATCTATAAGCCTTGGGCTGGCCATGTTCTGTCTGGAGAATCACCCCCAGAAAATCAACCACATAGCACACTGTTTTGTACAACTCTTACTATCCTGGGCCCAGGCTGGACCCAGGAGGTCTGGCCCTTTGGACCTGTATTGTGATCCTATAGCCAGATTGTGGGGACTTAAATGTACCCAAGCCACCAACGCTCATGTACCACGGATGTGTGTGTGTGTGTGTGTGTGTGTGTGTGTGTGTGAG